TATCTATCTATCTATCTATCTATCTATCTATCTATCTATCTATCTATCTATCTATCTATCTATCTATCTATCTATCTATCTATCTATTATACAATCCCAGGAAAACAATGCAAATGGTTATCATACTGTATACGGTGGAGTGACTGAGATCTTTATATCAAATGATTAATTTAGTAAAATAACACAATGAAATAATTACTTAAAAACAAGAGAAACATACCTTTAGCAGTTTGAGCTCTCTTGAGTCTGAAAAGGCTGGAAACATCTCCTCATACTTCTCTATGGCCAACTGAAACACACACAAACATGACCAGGTGAGTTCCTGTTTGCAGACAGCCACAAACCTACATTAAAAAAAAAAGTCTGTCAATGAAAAAGTGTTTATGACAAACCCGTTACTGTTTAATACCCTGTATAACTGTCCTTTTTCTTTTCTTTTTTTTCGTGCTTGTGGAATGGTTTGGATCAATTTGTGGTGTTTTCATCATGTTGTCTTGACTGTGTAAGTGTTATATGATGTGCCGTTTTGTACGGGTAAGGGAAGGGTGGGGATTTGATCTTTTATGTTAATTTTTGTATATCCATTTGGGAAATAAAAAAATAAAAAATAAAAAAAGTGTCTGCATGCTTCTGGGACTTGGGTGTCCGTTACCTTGGCGTTGAGCTCGTCCACTATGAAGTGACACAGCGAGGCCTTGAAGAAATACTCTTTCGCGTTGTACTTCAGCAGAGGATTGTCCATGGTGCTCATCGCAACCTGAAACACACACAGTCACTGAGGCTTTTTGCATGCTGTTTGGAAACCTATAACAGGGATTTTAATCACTTTATTACATATGTTACAGTTACAGTTTGGACTGATGGTATTAAAGAGGTCTAAATGAACCCTTTAAAGCCTGATCCAAGAATAAAACAAAACAGAAAATTACTTTTTTTGGGTTTAAAGTCTTTATTTGGCCTGTTAACAAAATATGTAAAAAGAAAAAACAGAAATACATTTTTTATATTAATAATTTATTACTATGTGATAATTATTTTTTGTGTAGTCTTCTGGCCCCTGTTATCAAGTGTATCTGATTGAGTACAACAGGATTTTGAGCTAATTTTTTCCATTAAATTATGCAAAAGGTGTCAGACGCTAAACATTTCAGTATCATGTGGGATAGTTTGTTAGCTTTTCAAGTATTCACAGAGGAAGTGGGCATTGAAAAGGCATCTGAGGCCGACTGTGTTCTAGTTTTTGGGGGCAAGATGCATCACAGATCCAAATTTTGTTTAGAGTCTTTTCTGTAAATTGCATTTACATTTTTTTAATGCCTTTGATAGTTCCCTCACATTGTAAGTGACTTTAATTTCCTAACTGTAACCAAATTTACAATTAACATCATGAAATGATCACTTAAATGCAAATAGAGGATTAATTGCTGATCTCAACCATGACATTTGTGCTTCAGAGTTGGATTTTTTTGGATTTACTGATATAAAATGAGGCAGATCTAGTGTTTCAGAACCAGGATTGGGATAAGTTGCAGGATGTCAGTCTCCAATAAGTCATATTTGGCAAAAGATTTGCAAATCAAGCTGTTAGTCAGCCTGTTTGCTCCTTAGTTTTTCAACCTTGACACACTATCAAAAAGCTCAAACGATGTGATATACAGTGGGGGAAATAAGTATTGACCCCTTGCTGATTTTGCAGGTTTGCCCACTTACAAAGAATGCTTATTTTTCCTCATCAGATGGTTATCAATTCTTATAAATTCATATGATGTGATTTTCTGGAATTTTCTTTGGGATTCTGTCTTTCACTGTTAGAATGTACATATGATTAAAGTTATAGATCGTTGCATTCTTTGTAAGTGGGCAAACCTGCAAAATCAGCAAGGGGTCAAATACTTATTTCCCCCACTGTATTAGAAGCTAATTCAGCAAAGAGAAGAAATTCAGGGTGGACTCGAGATTTCAGCAAACGAATGGAATT